TTTTTTTTTTTTTGAAGATGGCATTTTGTCCTGCGTAGGGAGGCAGCAAAACAAAAGGCGCAAGAAAAAGAAGGACAAAAAAAATTCACAAGCTGTCAAGTTGACAGACCTGTTATATGCCATACTGACTTGCAGAGTTGGAAATTTGAATTCATGGCAGAGATGAGCAATGAGAGTGGCGACGCGGAGGTGAATCTTCGGAAACCCCATTTTGAACTTATCGGACCGGTGAAAGCGCATGGGCGGATTGTGTGGTCAGCCGCATGGACACACTGTGACTCTTTCTTCGCCACTGGCTCGCGGGACAAGTTGGTAAGAGACATGATTTATTTTATTTTATTTTTTCAAAAATTTAACCTGACGCAGCACTTTTTGTCTCTCTGTTCTTTCCCTTTTTTTCTTGGCATACTGAATTGGAAGGATTTCACCCCTGCAACCCTGGTCCCAGTCTCAGTTCCAGTCCTGTTTCCCTGTCCTCACATCAGTCCCAATTGCCTGTATCATATTTTCCAACTCCTAGTACGTAGGTTAGCGTCTGATTACTAGCTAAAGTACTAGCCCTTCGTAACTCAATCCTAGCCATGATGTGGTATGCCACCTCCATATGGTTCCCATCAGAAGAATTCCAATGCCAGACCAGGAAAAAAGCGGCGGCCTTCCTGTGGACAGGTGACCCAGACAAACAACACTTCGTTCACAAGGTAGCTTGGCAAAACGTTGCCCAACCTAAAGCCCAAGGTGGTCTAGGTCTGCTCGACCCAGCCCAACAGATCCAAGCCCTCCAAATCAAGTGGATCTTGAGAATCTCTTTCCATGATAATCTACATTGGGCACCGCTTGCCCTAAATCACATCAGAGAGATGGCCCCATTTAAATCTCCTGAAAACATGACCGGAATTTTTTGGGTTTAGAACAAGTATTGGCCTCTTCCCAAAAATAAAACAACCCAAAACCAATAGCTATCTCAAGAGGACGCACAAGAGGGCGAACCCACAAAATCCCTATGGTCGCATATCCTATACAACTGGAGAAACATATTCCCCTAGAACAAGATAGGACCCAAAAGAAGAGACAAAATACTCAGATCTCTCTTTGGAAACCCCTGGATCAAGAATGAGAAAGGAGAATGCTTCGCTCTCTCCAGGTCAGAACCCAAATGGGGACAATGGATAGAAAAAGGCATCTGGCAAATTCAGCACCTCTGGGACGTCACGACCAACAAATGGAAATCAGAAAAACATCTAAGACCAATCATGAAAGGCACCCACCATCTTCAAGCAAGCATTAATCGGATCATCGAGAGCATCCCAATAGTTTGGAGGCTCCTACTATCTACTAATCAAAAGTGGCAGTTCGGCGACTGGCAGCACAAAAGGATCAAGAACGGTTACGAGAGATCCGGAAACTAAAATCCTATGAAACGCAAAACAAGAACTGGATTTGTTGTGACATCTTTACCCTCGACGAACCAGGCAATCCAGTAAGTTTTCGTAACGCAGTAAGCAGAACAGAGGCATCCTTCCTAATACATAACCTACGAAGAATAAGGGTCATCGAAGGGGAAAGAAACAGGGCCTTCAAACCTGAGTCCAGCGTCCAAGATTTGGAAATTGACCCTACTGAATGGTCCTGGAGTTCTCATGGTAGCAGCCAAGATCAACTCCGTTTCCCTCACCCCATGTCCCAATCCTCCCTCTCAGATTCAACAGGGAGAAAGGTAAATGGCAGGTTGCAGTCTGACCTTCACTGACTCTGGTCACAACACATGAGACCGAGAAAGTACCACAGTTCATAAGAGGAAACATCGCAGACCAGCGCCCCCAACTCGTTTACAAAGCATGGCAAGACAAAAGCCTCGAAGTAGTTTGGGAAGATGACGGCGGTGCATCTCATTTCAGGGACTTGAGTCCAATCATGGCAATCTATGACCAGTACGTGGTCCTGAGAGACGGCCTGCAATGGAAATCATCGGAACTGATTTGTGTGATCCCCTACTCTCTTCTGGGTCACAAGGACAAAGTGGACAGAATCGCTTACAGCGTTCCAGCATTGGGAGGTAGCGAGGAGGTACCTTTGGACAGGGCTAAGTTGGAAAGGAGAAGAGGGAGGAGAGCAGAATCTTCAATGCTGCCTTCTAAACACCCCCTCCAGCCCAGAATCGAGGTTAACCATCGCACGACCCAATGCAAAACTCAACGGATGGTTCCCCAAATAGAGGAGCTGGACACAAACCAAAAAGATTATAACCCACCACAGAAGCTGACATCTTAAAGGAAATTGGAAAACAACCAGAATTGTCCATACTGTCATGGAACGTCAATGGGTTAGCATCTGTTATGTACAACCCAATCAAAAATGGAAAAATGTGACGGAAACCAGCAATTGGTTTGGCCAAACCCCCCCAGATATAACATGCGTACAGGAAATGCAGCTCACAAACAGTGATGAACACAAGAGAATCCAAACGGCAATTTTAAGCAGCTCACAAACAGTGATGAACACAAGAGAATCCAAACGGCAATTTTAAGCAAATTGCAATTCGTCAAATTCTTAGTCTGGGCCAGCGCAGCACCAAACGGTTCAACATGTACAACCATTCTCTTCCATCAAAAATTCATAGCAAGTGATAACATATCAATTCAAACCTCAAGCCAGGACGACAGATCAGGGAGGTGGGTCAAGATTGACATACAACTCAAAGAAGAGGACATAACCATCCTAGGTATATACGGTCCGAACACATCACAGGAAAAAAAACCCTTCCTCCTATCCCTAGAACAACTAATCCCTACCCATAGTTATACCATCATAATGGGAGATTGGAACTTTGTACAAGACCCTACCCTGGGTTGAATTTCTAACTCTCAGGATCCCACGTAACAATCCAACAGCATAGACCTAGGGGACTTCATCACAACGCAGACCTAGTAGACCCATATCGTCTTCTAATTCCTAATGCAAAACGCTTATCGTGCGTCAAAAAAACCTCCCTCGGAAGAACCTCTTTGTCAAGAATAGATTTCTTCCTCACCTCGGATTCACTATCAGGGCCTATCCTAGACTGCAAAATAAAAAACAACCCGTACTGTAAGGGCCTAGATCGCAAACCAATCTCACTCACTTTTAAGGCACGAGTGAAGGGGGACTTCAAGAAGAATGAGAAAAATGAATGTATTATATGTTTATTTTTATCGTTTGTTTCACAAAGTGCGCTCTTTTAGTTCATAGATATGTGACAATGTATCTATGAGTCGGTGAAACTTCGATGAAACAGTTTGTCATAGCCCCTAGTTTGTTCTCCTACGGTTTACCGGGCAGCTCATTTTGGAGGACTAAACCCTACTGTCTGCCTACGGTTTAGCAGGCAGCGTTGTTTGACAATATATACGGTTTACCGAGCAGCTCTGTTTGATTATATATATAGTCAAACAGAGCTGCCCTGTAAACCGTAGGCAGAGAGGGAGAAGAAGACAACAAACGAGGGGCTGTGACAAATTGTTTCGTCGGAGTTTATATATATATATATATATATATATATATCTATATATATATATATATAGATATATATCGTCACAAATAGAACTGCCCGGTAAACCGTAGGCAGAGAGAGAGAAGAGGACAACAAACGAGGGGCTGTGACAAACTGTTTCGTCGGAGTTTCACCGACTCATCAGGAGGCTGAACCCTCAACAGTCTGTAGAAT